CACTACAGGACCATGGGGGTAGCAGCCTGCTACGGTGGCCTAGTGCTCTGTGGGCATGGGCGCACGATGCGGGGAGGGAAAAGGAGGGGCAGCGCTGCGAAAGTTGCAGGGCGCTCGAGCGTGCTCGCGAGGAGGGTCGGGCGACGGGCGGGCATGAGGCACGGCGACAACGACTGCAGCGAAGAGAGGGAGAGCGGGCGAAGGCAGAGAAAACAAGCGCGCGAGGGAAAAACGATGAGCCATGTGCAGTGCGTCACCATCTTCATAGGCGCGACGTGGGCAGAGCAGCACAGCACAGCACGGCCGGCAGCGGTGCGCCTACGTGCGCACAGGAAGGTGATAAGACATGGCATGGCAGGGGCAGGACCACGTGCTCTCCTTCTGACACCCTAGTTTAAGAAGCGGCTCGGTCATCTTTCTTTAATGCACTCCAGATCAAGGACGCGAGGGAGAGGGAGCAGCGGCACGGCGACGGGACTCGACAACGCGGCGCGACGAGAATAACTCCGATGATTGATGGATTCAGAGCAGGGGCACCACCGTATTCAAGCGGCCAGGATGGCAGTGAGGCAAGGACAGCAGCTGAACGCATGGGCGTCACGTGGTTCTGCTGGCTGCCTGCCTACGCATGCGACGCGGATGTGAACAACGATACGTCGTCGGCACTCCAAAAGATCTAAATCCTATCGACTTCCATCACTAAACATTTCACGCGATAGCTCCTATTCCATACCCAGCCATAGAACAAAATATTAGGGTGTTAAGTAATTATTTTTGCGTAAAACAAATCGCCACAACAACGCTTTAAAATATAATTTCCGATTTTTATCGTTGACGCGAAAAGCTGGTTTTTAAATTTTAAATTTGATTTTTGAGCTATCATATGTATATACTATTGAATAACTTTTACTTACCAAAACAAACGTTGCATTTTCATCTATTAAACTTGGATTTATTCAAGTACTAAATACAAAATATATTTTATTTTGTTTATAAAAATTGCTTTTCATGCTTAATCAAATAAACAAGCCATTCGCTATCTATTTGCTAGAATTGTTGTCCGTCATTTCTAAATATTTTTACGTACTGAATAATTTAACTTAAACGTTTATTCGAGTCTATAAAACTGAGTCACACATGATTTCCTTATCACTTCAAGTATGTTTAAATCAAAAATCCGAGAAACTCGTTTTCGAAAAAAAAATTAGACCCAAATCACGGTGATAAACAAGATCGTAACACCAGGGTGTTACATTAGTGTTGCTACGCTCTTTAGTGTAATTAGTTTTGAGAGCTAGTTTGTATCGGGTCTAGTGGTTAGTGTGGCTCTTTAGTTAGCCTTTGAGAGCACACTAGCTTAGTGTAGTGACTTAGCCTTTGTGTGCTTAGAGATCATAGTAACTAGAATTATGGTAGGTGGCTTGTATTTTTAGTAGGCTAGCGCAACACTCGCTTTGTCGTTTAATTATCTAACATCTTTGCTAAGTATTGTTGTAGAAATTTTAATAGGCTATTCACCCCCTCTAGCCATTAGAACCTTTCAGAGAGAGAGATGGTTGTGCTCACTAAGATGTATTCTCAATAGAAATGGCCAAGAGGATGAGCAAGAGCCGACCAAACACCTTTTATCGAGGCTCCATCGAAATAGAGCCGTTGGGCTCAACAGGCAGCCCAACTCGGGGTGACCGGACGCGCTGGTCGCGCTGACCGGACACAGGCCCCCCATCATCCGATCATGGATCTCTGTCCACGTGTCCCCTGGTTCAACGTTGTTCTCACGATTCCAACGGTCAAAAGCCTCCCCATGCGTAGTTAAATAATGACCGGATGCACCGATCGCGTCAGATCACGCTCGCGCGCGCCAAGGCCACGCGCATGACCGGACGCGCTGCTCCCCGTGGCTTCTCGACGTCAGAAACATTCTGAGAGGTTCTAGAGTCACAAAACCGCGATCGGACGTGCACCAGAGTCCGATCCTCCTTTGCTTCTCACATACGCTTGCGTTAGCATACGTCAGCCCTGACCAGACGCAGGCCCTACGCGTGCGGTCACAATTACTGTTCAGCGTCCGGTCACAAGACCGATGGCGGCCTTCACTGCGTGTCACTGACCGGACGCGGGGTCAGGGTCCGGTCACTGCCCAAGGCAGAGTCCGGTCACTTCGAGACTTCTCCTTTTGACTCCAAACTTCACCACCCTTGCTTAGATGTGCCAACCACAAAGTGTATCACCTTGTGCACGTGTGTTAGCATATTTGTCATAAATATTTTCAAAGGTGTTAGCACTCACTAGAATCTAAATGCATATGCAATAAGTTAGAACATCTAGTGGCACTTTGATAACCGCATTTCGATACAAGTTTCACCCCTTTTAATAGTACGGCTATCTATCCTAAGTGTCTCGATCACCAAAACACAAAAGCTCCTATCAAGTTTCACCTTTGCCTTGAGTTTTTTGTTTTTCTGTTTCTTTTTTTTCCAAGCCCGAGCACTTGATGATCGCCATGCCATCACCATCATCATGATCTTCATTTGCTCCAACACTTATGTGTCATCTATCTTATAATCACTAGAGCAATAGGTTAGCACTTATAGTTTCATCAATTCACCAAAACCAAACTAGAGCTTTCAGAAACGGTTGTAGATCAAGCCACCTCTAAAAAAACTTCTATTGCTGAAAAATCAATTATGCAGTGATGCACGGACAACAGTAATTTTTGTGTGTTTTCGTGTTCGTGTTCGTGTTCGTGTTCGTGTTCGTGTTCGTGTTCGATTGCCATGAGCCCCTGATGAGTGTCGTGTTGAGAATTGTACCCACCGATCTTCTGCCACTCGAATCCAGTTCGCCGAAACGGATCTGATCGGATGGGACGTCGGCCAGTGCTAGAGATGCGTGCGCGACCACGACAGAGGCGCGACGGCATCACTTGCCACAACCGTCAAAAGCATGGTCGGCCGCCGTACTTGCCGATGTTGGCACGTCCTTGTTTTGAACAATGAACCTTCTCCCAGATCTTTGCATTGTCCGTGTGATCGTGTCTCTCTCGCTGGCCTTGGATTGGTTTCACTGTCCCATTCCCACGTCAGGATGAGAATCTCTAGCGCTTAGCAGTGGGGCAGTAATGCAGTATCCTGGGCTACTAGTAGGCAACGCACACATGCACCACCCAACTATCCTGTGTACTGTACTTCACCTTCTTCCACGTACGTACGGTTCCGTCCCGTCCACCAACACGTTTCGCCATGCATGCATCACGGTCACGGGCTACAGCGAGCACGAGAAACGACAAAGAAGGCCACTGGCGCCGGGCGGAGGTACTCGTCGTGACGCCGCCTGCTGGCCGGCCTGCGCGCTTGCACGTGGACGCGGTCCCGGGCACGGGCAGGCTCCCATGCGCTCCAGTCCCACCAGCCATGGACGCGCACGGCGCACGCGACGACGGCGTTGGATCCTTGTGCGTTGTGCTTGTGCCAGGTCGCGGGCATGCATTGCCATACAGGCCTGCCTCGTTGGCCGGCGCCCGCGCGTGGCGGCAGCGGCCGCCCAACCACCTCCAGTCGGCGGGTCGTACGGCGCGGACGGAGCCGGAGGTGGGCCCGGAGAGCAGAGCCCCGTCTCGTACGAGCGTACGTACCCGGCCGTGGTACTTGGGTCCGGCTCGCTCCCAGCCAGCCAGGCGCAGCCCGCATAGCGCCGGTCCGCTCCGGACGGGCCTGGATCCCATCTGGACGCCGACCTGGTGGCCGCTCTGTGTCCCAGCCGCGCACCACGCGCTACTCGTGGCTGTGGAATCATTATAGGCGTATAGCCTTTTCTGTTGCTCCGTTCCTGCGCACATTTTTCACCTTGGTGTCTCGGTCTTCACATACAGGTGGACAACAAGCCAATCGTGTAAATCACTTTATCGTAACAAAAAAAAAATTGAATACCGAACCCTCAATAAACACATATACTCAGACATGGTCAATTTTGTGTAATATATTACATAATTCAAAAGTAAAGGTTTAAATCATAGCATGTTAGCGTCTATGAAAAATATGAAACTTACGGTCCACGTTGACAACCACTTTTATGTTTACCTCTCAATGTTACTATAAATAATCTTCTAATATATGTCTTTTTTTACTTGTATCCCTTTTTTGAATTGGTACTTAGTGTGGAATGATAAGATTTTCAACACTTGCCCTGTATATCCGGTAACTTGGTTTCTATCCCTACACATCTTTGCCTATCAGATATCCTATCTATCCTCTGGCTACTATTAGCTATCTTTGACGCTATTGCCATTACAATCATAATGACTTGGCCAACTTTCACATGCTACTGTTTGCTGTGTAAACACGAGTATATGGATTTTTAAGAAAACAGTGTGCCGGTATAATCTTTTGAAGATGATTATAGGCATAGGATGTGTACGAGTGGATTTACATGGATGAACAGATGACCATATATACACATATATCCGCCAGTTTTATTATGCGTCTGAAAAAATAAATTTAGTAGTATTTTTGGAGCTCAGCGTCCTTTCCTTTTGCCAAACGATGGACCAGGAGACAATAATGAAAAAGAAAACATTTTCAGCCACACAAAGGCACCCCGCACACGATCCTGATCACAGACCAATATCGGGAGGCGGAGATCTCTCAGACAGTCGGCTGTATCTCCAATCTATCAAAGCCACCACCCACCGCTCAGACTGCCATCATGGACCCCACACGTCATCGTATTTACCGCAGGAAGCCAACCAATTAGACCCCGCCTCTCGGGTCCCACGCCGGCCACGTCACGCCAAAATAATTACCCCTCTCTTTCTTTCCCAAAATCCCGACTCTTTTTCTCCTCTCGGCTGATCTCCCCCAGTCTCCCCCTCCCTCTCCCTCGCTTCTCTCTCTCCAGTTCCCAGCGCGCGACACGACACGGGTCAGGCTCCCAGCCGCCGCCGCCGGCGGCGATCGCCGGAGCTCGGTGCCGTTGCTGCCGAGCACGCTCCGCGCGGAACCATGGTGAGGAGCGGGAGCATGCGGCGGTCCTCGGCGCCCACGCCCACCCGGGCGGCGGCGCCGGCGTTCACCGTGTCTCCCGCCGACTACCGCCTGCTGGAGGAAGTGGGCTACGGTGCCAACGCCGTCGTCTACCGCGCGGAGTTCATTCCTACCGGCCGGACGGTCGCTGTGAAGTGCCTGGATCTCGATCGGGTCAATAGTAACCTCGTGAGCTTCTCTGGAAACTTCATTCCTTCATCGCTCGATTCCTAGGGTTCGATAGTGATTGTTGGTTTTTGTTGATGATGGATGTAGAGGTGGGTTAGAAGCACCGGATGTTGATGCGATTAGTTGAATGATCGATGTAATTGTAGCATTTTTGTGTTGCCGAAGCGATTAGCTCAACAATCGGGCTCTTCACTAGTTCACTGTCGTTTCTCGTTTGCGGAGTTGGGGATAATCGGGAAACTTGACCGCTTCAATTCTTAGTTTTGTTATCAGTCTCAGTTGGCTCGCTTGCACAGTTGATGCTGGCCAGTGGCCACTTGCAATTACGCCTGCAGCCCTTAGGGCTTCTAGGATGGGATGCAGTTACTTTCTTATTGATCTCGATTAGTTGTGCTACAAAGATGCTATATCCTTTTTTAATGTAGCTTTTATTACGAAAAAAATTGTATACCCATTGGCGTGGTTCGTAGCAGCATCTTGTGTTAGCTAGCCTAACATCACCAGAACCTGTACATGAAAACATTTTTCAGAATTAATAAATAAGCACATGTACTGTTTTAAGCCAATTTTGGTTCTCTTGCTCTGCCCCTTTGTAAAATGAACACTATAATCAATGTCTGACTGTAGTATATATATCTATTGTATGCAGGATGATGTAAGAAAGGAGACTCAAACTATGAGCTTGATAGATCACCCAAATGTCATCAGGTCTTACTGCTCATTTGTTGTGGGTCATAATCTTTGGGTGGTAATGCCATTCATGTCAGAGGGTTCATGTTTGCACCTAATGAAGGTTGCATATCCCGATGGTTTTGAGGAGCCAATTATTGCCTCTATTTTAAAGGAAACACTCAAAGCTCTAGACTATCTCCATAGGCAAGGACATATTCATCGTGATGTGAAGGTTAGCTCTGTATGATTCGTTTGAGATTAGTTTTGGCAGTGCCTTTTCTCAACGTATCATTGTTGCAGGCAGGTAATATCCTTATTGATAATCCCGGTGTAGTCAAGCTTGGGGACTTTGGTGTCTCTGCTTGCATGTTTGATAGGGGTGATAGGCAAAGGGCTAGGAATACATTTGTTGGAACACCATGCTGGTAACTATGTTTCTTTTCTATAAATTTCTTCTGCTAGTGGTTCAATAGAAATTAATTACTTTATGCTTAATTTGGCATGTTTTTTCTTATTTTACTTGGTGTTTAGGATGGCTCCAGAAGTTCTCCAGCCTGGAACTGGATATAATTTCAAGTACGTGCTGAATATCAATACCTATCTTATGTTTTCTACGCTCGCATGCTTAGTTCTGCTTGACAATTAGCATTGCTTAATAAACCTAAGATTGAGCAAATACTACATTGGAGTTTGGTTTTACTTGTCGTGTTTATAAATATGAGTGCAGCACATCATCAAGTTGGAACTCTTCCCAGAAACTAGGTGTCACTAAGTTCTGGTTGGTTCTAGTTTGAGGTTTCTGGGAAAACTTCCCTATTATTGGTTTTCAATCATACTGCTTATGATTGTACTGATGTAATAATCATGTTTGTTTAACGCATCGTAGCTTTTTTATGTGTACTTTTAATTTTCTTGGTTGCTATTGTAAGCTACATCTTCTAACAACTATCGGCTCCTTTGTACAGAGCTGATATATGGTCATTTGGAATAACTGCACTGGAGCTGGCACATGGACATGCTCCCTTTTCGAAGTACCCTCCTATGAAGGTAACGCTTCATTTGCCTTTGCAAATTAAGATCTTAATTTTTTTCCTTTTTTCTCTTATGGAACAGAGCAATGTAATAATAGTTCCCAGGGAGCGTGAATGCTTGATGATTGATTGCACCATTTTTTTTTTTTTTGGAAATTTCATAAAGTACCTTATTTTGAAAGTTGCAGTGCAAGCATATGTGGTCTTAATCATTTTGCTATCCGATCATACAAATTACTAACTAGACTCTTTTTGTAGCCTCCACATTAATCGTCACAGGACACCGCTAGAAATATAGAGAACCTAGAGATTCTCCCATGGGCACACATTCTTTTGTTAATACTTATTTAGACTTGCTGATTGCCACCAGCTTGTAAAACTATTATAGGTGTCAGATAGTCTTATCCATGAAGTTAGCTATCCAACTTTACAAACTTTCCGGCTCAATAACTATTTCACGAAGTTCACCTAATTATGTGTGTGAATTCAGTGTTAACTGGTGACTTCCTTGGTGGCTCAGGTTCTTCTCATGACGCTCCAAAATGCTCCTCCAGGTCTTGACTATGACCGTGATAAAAGATTCTCAAAGGTAGTACTAGTCCTTTTGGTTAATTCTTGGGCAGTGAATTCTTTCTGATTATAGTTTTCTGTCACAATCTTTCTGTTCTAAAATGCTGTTTCAGTCATTATTTGTACAGAGTCTGGGCATTAGGTTAGATTATTGTGGTTGCTCTTCTAATGAAAGTTTTTCAGTTGTGACCAGTCCTTCAAGGAAATGGTTGCGATGTGCTTGGTGAAAGATCAAACAAAGAGGCCAACAGCCGAAAAATTACTTAAGCATTCTTTTTTCAAGAATGCAAAACCTCCGGAGCTAACTGTTAAGAGCATTTTAACTGATTTGCCCCCTCTTTGGGACCGTGTAAAGGCACTCCAGGTTTGTTTCTATGTATTTTTTTTCTTATTTCTCTTTTTCACAATGCTTGTGATTGTGTTTCTTAGTGAATGACTCTGTATTTCCAGTTAAAGGATGCTGCACAGTTAGCTTTGAAGAGAATGCCTTCTTCAGAACAAGAAGCACTTTCTATGGTTCGTGAAAGTGTACTTTGCCTATTTTTCTCTACTTGAACTTTATTTTTTTTTCTCTGAAGCAGGCTAGATGTATCCTTCATATTGGTGAATCTTATGCTTCATTTTATTTGGACCATGTTAACATTAAAGATGTGGCTTGAAAACGAATTTCATAAAATATGGTAGGAATATGTATGAGCAAAATGGTTGCTTTATTGAAAAAAGTAAATTTAGATTGTGAGAGTATTATGTCAATGCCCGAGTATGGTAGTATTTCCTAATGTTTATTGGTTGAACAAGGACTAGGGGAGAGCAATTAGGAACCATGCTACAAAACAAGACTCATTTCACAACCCATAAGATGTTAGTTTCTTAGGGATAAAATTAATGCTATAAAACGATGGCGCCTAAGCTATATGACGCGACTCTTTGTGGTAAAGTAGATGACTGCTAAAACATGTTTTAGCAGAAGCAATGGTTCATATAAAATATCTATTTAGCTCGTCAGGAAGCTGCAAACTTCTTTTGTTCTAGGGAGGCGTTTCTATTCCCTACTATGTGTACCTCTTCAGAGCTGCAGAAATTTGAAAGCACAAACCAAGGGTGAATTCTGAAAGCTAAGCCCTTGGACACCCAGGATGGCAAGATCTGTGTGACTCCAGTATATGGATATGACACTCACATGACTATCAACTATTCATTTCATATATAAACAATCAACTAACATTATGTTTAGTTGCTTAGATAATACCATGACTACTCACAAGATGTATTTCGCTAACTGTATTGTTTCGTTAGCACACCATCATGTATTTTCATAGGCATAGACGCACTATTTACTTCTGTCCTTCAATCCATCTATGCGACTATTTCTGAAGGTCCAATGGTTTATGTGACAGAGTGAGTACCAACGAGGTGTCAGTGCATGGAACTTCGATATTGAGGATCTAAAGGCTCAGGCATCACTGGTAAAGCAATAGGTTTTCTTATCTTTTATCGCTGCGATACCCTACTTGTATGTGCTAAAGTTGGCGGTGTTTTTGCCTTACAAGTAAGCTGTATAACTTTGCAGATTTGTGATGATGATCCACCTGAAATAAAAGAAGACGATGACACTGGTAGAATAACTGACATTGATAAGGTTTGCTTGACTCCTTTTTCTTTATGTTAAGAAATACCTTAGCCCTGTCTACTAGGAATAATGACATAAATTTGATGTAAGCTTCACAAGAAAGCTACAGAGTGATTGAAGAAATCATACGTAACAGTATCATCTGTCATATGTATATATTCACTATGGAAAATGTTACCATGTGGGTTTCAAAAAAGAAGAGAAAATAGATCACCATATGTTGGATTCAGACAGTAAGACATGTTTAAGCGGGGCTGAAATGCTCTGTGTAGATCTGTGGATGCATTTCTGGATTCACTCCACTAGGTACTTGAAAAAAAGATATGCAATCCTTTGGTTTTATATTTCACAGTTTTTCACTATTTGGATTTTGAAATTGCAAAAGACATCTGCTTGCTCTGTGTGTTTCTATAGCAAGAGAAAAGTATATGGTTGATGTGCAAGTCATTTCTGAATGCGCTATTACCAGGATACATCTTCTGACGGTTATTTTGGAAAGCCAACACCATCGAATGGAAATAACTGCAGGTCGAGTGAATCTATAACGTTTTAGCATCCTTTGGTTCCCAATAGTTTTCTGTTTTTTCATTTTCCATATCAATATCTTGAATACAGAGGGACCAGTGGAGTGGGCCTCCATGCATATTTCAGTTGCTGTAGGGTAGTTCATTTATAGTTTTCTGTTATGTTTCAGTGAGCGTTCTTCTGCGGCAGCAAATCCATGTCAAAATAGCCCCGAAACAAGCGAAGTATTGTCTTCCAACAATGGGAGTGCCTATAGTGAAAGGAAGGCTGATGGACCTAAAAACCCAGGATCAGAAAATGATTCATTGCCCTCTACATCGAAGCATGATCCTGATGGGAAAGATTGTAGAAATGAAGTCGGACAAAAACAAAGGACATACTCGGGTCCAGTTCTGCAATCTGGTTCGCATAATAGTTCGATGACTGAAAGGGGCCACATTATTGAAAGGTGTGCCTAACAAAATTTACTGAACGTGTTCCCTTTTAACTATCTGATTTACTTTAATCTGACTTACCTTCTGTTAATAAAAACTCTTCAATAATTCTTGGCTTCTGAAGAAGCATCGCAGACTTTGGGTACATGTGTCCAAGGGCACTAAATATCATTTTGATTTCTGAGTTCTTGAAAAATAAAAGTTGACATGAGCCTATGCATTGTATATTCGAAGATTCTTTGTCATCAATAATATTTCTCATGGCAGGGATGCAGGAGTTCAATCTGTATCTGATAAACAAAAGAATGGTACAAGAAGAGCCAATAATCTTAGTGGTCCTCTGTCACTTCCAACTCGCGCTTCTGCAAATAGTCTTTCTCTTTCAAGAACCAATAATCTTAGTGGTCCTCTGTCACTTTCAACTCGCGCTTCTGCAAATAGTCTTTCTGCTCCTATTCGATCGTCTGCAGGTAGGATTTAAACCTTCAATTGCTGTTTCCTTTTTATCTATGTATAGGCTTGCCTGTACATTGTTGTTAATGTAGCATTGCAGGATATGTAAGTTGTGCTTGACTTTTGGAATGTAAATCTAGCCCTTTATTTATTATGCCAATTGCTCTATTACAGGCTATGTAGGCTCTTTGGGTGATAAGCCTAAGCGCACTATGGTGGAAATTAAAGGCCGCTTCTCAGTGACATCTGAGAATGTGGATCTTGCAAAGGTGGGTAGCCCTCCCTTTACTGAACAAAATCAGTAGATCACTTCAGCCAAATAATCTAAAATCTACTTCACAGGTTCAAGAAATTCCAGGGAGCAGTACCCCACGTAAATTGCAAGAGGTAAGAATTTTTCCATGGTCCCTTGTTCATAAGGCACTGTTACACTACTCAGATATATCCACTGATCATGACCATTACTGGGGCTTTCAGGGGCCTTCACTGAGAAAATCAGCCAGTGTTGGTGATTGGTCAGTGGATGATAAGACAACGGTAAGCTATCTTCTCGAATTGTGCTTATTACAGACTAAAACTTCTAAATACCTTTTGTGCTAACAGATTTAAATGCTAAATTTTGAGTTTTTATCTTAGAGCAATGTTGTTGGGATTTTTTTTATTTCTGGAAGCAAAACTGCTTCCTTGCTCTTCAAGCAACAGCACACAATTTTGTCACTGGGAATTTTGTTATTTGCAGTCTACTAATCATCAACGGAAGGAACTCTGCAATAGCTCTGTATCTACATCAATTCTGATTCCCCATCTTCAAAACCTTGTGAAGCAGACTGCATTCCAGCAAGTATGCAACAAACTCAATATATTTTAAACATGTCCATTTATTTATAACTCTAGCCTACCCCAACTTGCTTGGGACTGAAAGGCTATGTTGTTGTTGTTGTTGATGTCCATTTATTTATAGCCTTGTAACGGTTTCAAATTTCCTTGCTACAGGATCTGATTACGAACCTACTAAGTAGCTTGCAGCAAAATGAGAGAGTCGATGGTACAAATTTTTCTCCTGTGCTGCTGAATGCACTTTTCCTTTTTCAACTTTTATTAAAACTATTGATTTTACCCAGCAGCTCAGTCAAGAGTTCAGAGCACAGGGAGTGATACAGTGGTAAGTACAAGCTCAGCTTAATATATCAGAATTTACCTTCATGGAAAAAATTGATGGCAATCTTATAAATCTATTCATGAATAATTTGGCAGGTTGAAGCTGCTACTGCTGAGAGAGAACACTCGTTACTTGTTAAAATTTTTGAGTTACAATCTAGGTAGGCCCGTTCTCTTTATAAGGTGGCAATTGCATCTTCAAGAATTCAAATTTTGAATTTTGAATACCTCCCTCATGTTTGGAAGAATAATTTTCTGCCTCGTTCAATGTTTCTATCTGTATCTGTTGTTAATGTCTCATGACATCTTGATTGATATTTAGCTGAGATATAGTGGGTAATTTCCTATTTCATCTGAATTTGGAATCCTGTGAACTTGAATAGATTGTGACTTGTATCTTGAACTGATTTCATTGTAAAATGGATCAAGTTGCCTCAAAAAATTTGTCCTCAAAGGTCTGAGACTTTGATATTGACAAGTATCATACTCTACAAATGCTAGGACCCATGGATTTTCTTGTTTTTGAGTTTGTTATTATGCTCAAGAAGCTCTAATATTTTATTTATATGTTTTTTCTTAACTAACTCTGTGTCGTTTCATTGTTTTTGCTGTATAGTACTCCCTCCCTTCCAAATTATAAGACATTTTGGTTTTTCTAGATACGTAGCTTTTGCTGTGCACTTAGATATACACTTTGTCTAGATACTTAATAAATGTAATGTATTTAGAAAAGCCAAAACATCTTATAATTTGGAACGGATGGAGTAGTGATTATTTGTGGCCAAAGATGGTAATGTTTTCTCCCCTTGCAGGATGATTTCTTTAACTGACGAATTAATTGCGACAAAGCTGAAACATGTTCAGGTCTGTATCTCATAATTTCTAGCTACCCTTCTTCACTGTGTTGGCACTCAGAAACACGTAGAGTAGGTGCATTATTTAATAGTCCCTCAACAAAAAATAGTGATAGTAACTATTAACACTATAACTCTTAGAACCTTGGGTTTTTTACCGTGTTATTTTGATGTGGACTGCAGTTGCTTCTAGAGAATTTTTTTCCCATACTAGTAAGATATTGCATTCTTGCAATGGCTGGCCAAAAACACACTTTCAACACCGTGATAAGTGAACTTAGGCAATTGTGTGCTTGTCTCACTTTTGATCCACTATGTTGCTATCAGCTGCAAGAAGAGCTAAATGCACTGTACTGCCAAGAAGAAATCGTGGAGATGAGAGAGGACGAAAACGAAGAAGCATGATGCGGTGAAGCCTCCCTTTTTCTTACTACTAGGAGGGGGCCTAAAACCCACATGTCCCGGGCCCATGCAATTGAGGCTTGGCTAACTGGCTGCGTACAAGGACCTGAAGGATCATTTTTGTGCTGAGCCAACCGACTCCGAGCGCAATCGAAGAACCTGCAGTGAGTTTGAAGGAGCGGGGAGACCGGGTTTATGATCGTTAGCCTCGGATTGAACTGTTATTATGTATATTCAGTCGACCCGTTGCGTTCGGGTTTGGTTTGTTCAGTGAGTTCTTAGGCGTCTTTGCGATGTGTATTCGTTTTGATCGCATTCGCACCTATCATTAAGATGGCTATGACGCCAGCCTCTAATATAGTAGTAGTAATAGGTATAGCCGTATAGTACCATTGTACTTGTACCTCAGAAGTCAGAAAGACTGCAACAATAATTGCATCGCGTCTATATACAGCGGAATGCATGTGTACCTACTGTATACAAGGGACTGCCCCAGCATCGAGCCTTTCGGCTGGGACCCTGAGCTCGACTGCCTCATGATCAGCTATATGGATCGACGTCAAGGCCATGATTATTTTATAAGTAACTTTCTTAATGATGTTTTAATAATAATACAAGCACAGTTTTTTTTTTTACATTTCTAGCACTTCTAGCCGAGACAAAGCATTAAGGGGCTGTTTGTTGCTCAGGAAATTTTGCCTCACCGGGCTGCAATCCAAGCCCACGATTTTGAGTCTTTGGTGGTCCAGATTTATTGCAGGGCAGCAACCAAACATGGCCTTAGGGTTGTTCAAAAAAAAAACATCGCCTTAGGGGCTTGTTTGCTTTGTGAACCGGAAAGCTTGCCTGGTTCAGGCGGTGATCCAAGGCGTCGATTTCGTGAGTCTGGGACTGGTTGCCTGGTTCAGGTAGGTAGCGATCCCATGCGTTGGTTTCGGCCTTTCGGGAGTCTGGGACTAGATCGAGCTGCCGCCTAGCCGGCGCTCCCAGACCAACCAGGTCGTCAAGCAAACATCGTAGGAAGCCATGATTGGCGGGGGGTTTCAGCCGGCGATAGAACCCGGCTACAGAAGGATTACATGCTCCTGTGGCCTGTGACGCTAGCCCTGGTAACTTCGTTTTAAAATCCAGCCTTGGTTTGACCGAGGTCAGAACAACAAATTTGTGTCAGAGCAGTAGTAAACCATGGCCATGGCCATTGATTAGGAGGGGCCAAGGGGGTACGGGCGCTATAGTTAACCTATTCCTCCAAGGCTTCAACGTGCAGCTGGGCCGTGGAGCACGCGGGAGTGGTCAGCCGACAATTTTCAACACCTAACCCCGGCCCAAACCCATCCATGGCATTGAAAAAATAAAGTTCGTCATGGTCCGGCTCCCTGACCCGGTGGATTTCTGAATCTTGACCAGGACTCCTATGCCTGCGCTGCTGTGCACCCTACGAGTAGCTAGGAATAGGCATGCAGTGCAGGGATGAGGGATCCAGCAGCAGCACTGCAGCAGCAATCATCACCGAGGCCGCGTTTAGTTCGGCCACCGAATCGGCGCCGTCGGATTCGGTGCGCACTATAGCTACGGTAGTGTTTTGTTTTTATTTGATAATAATTATCTAATCGTTGACTAATTAGGCTTAAAACATTCATCTCGTAAAGTACAACTAAACTGTGCAATTAGTTTTTGATTTCGTCAACATATAATATTCCATACATTTACCGTAAATTTGATGTGATGAAGAATCTTCTTTTTGCATAGTGCCAAAATCTGGAATTTTGGGTAACTAACGGCCAGTTTAGTTCTCCAAAAATTTTGCTAAATACATGAAATCCAAAATGGGGTACCAGCACACCAAAATGCTGACACTGACAAGTTTTTGCAGTTTGTTGTTTACTTGCCAAGAATTTTGCACCAGCAGTTAACATTGAATAGTAGATTTCGGTTGCATTAAATGTGTTCCATGCAAACTGCTGGTGCAGACTCAATCAAACTGGTTCCATGCAGATTTTTGAAAAGAATTTTCTCATTCATCAATTATTCAAACACATAATGAACAGACTTTTCTCATGCAACATTCACAACAATTATTCATCCCTATTACATCACAGACTGCTCAAGCATTCACAGAAGCCGTAACACACTGTACTATAGAAACATGTAATGAACCACACAAAACTGTCAATTACGATCCATCGGAGCATTAGCAAGCGAATCACGGATGGCATTCATGCATGACCACTCCTCATCCTCCACTTCCTCGGGTTGAGGTTGATTTTGATAAGCTTGTCTAAGCATTAAAGTTCTCATTTCGGTCACACCTACCAAATGCTTATCTGCTAAGCTACTAGTCCTCACAAAATTATGAAGAGCCATACATGCACAAATGATTTGGGCTTGCTTCTCGGTGAATAAGGAGGATCTTTTGCAAGATCCGCCACTTCATTTAAGTACCTTTTAATGACCTCTCAATAACATCCCTAAGAGAAGAGTGTGTGTAATTGAAGAGCTCTTCTTTACCCTATGGCTCGGGGCCGTCGCGGAAGTCCTGAAGATGGTACTTGCTTCCCTTGTATGGAGCAAGATAACCCAGCCGGTTAGGATATCCGGAGTCCACTAGATAGTATTTGCCTACAAAGACAAACAAATTATGAGCAACAGTACATAACCAACAAGGAACAATTGCACTCATGTGTACCTACGTACCATTTGGTGGATGTGGAAAGATCATGAAGTATGTTGTTGTAGAGTCATTGAACACTCTCATGTCATGAACAGATCCAGCCTACCAAAGATTAACAAATGTGAACCTCATGTCAAGTCACAACAGCCATTACATTTTGTGTAGTGATGCTCTTGCGGCACAAGTCTTGAATAAACAAATGGTTTGCACGACACAAGGGACATGAGTCCCATCTATAGCCCTATATGCGAGTTGTTGAAGTAGGGATAAAATCTACTACTTCTCGAGTGTAGGATGCATTGTTCGAATCGTGGATCTCATGGCTTAATATTGTCTCGCAAACAAGCCTGACTGGACACCTCAAAACTTTGGTAAACATTGTTGAAACAGTGCCCAATGACCTCTCAAACCTGTCCTCTGCTTGCCTAACAGACTGTGGTGCTCCTACCATCCAAAGAAACATCCCTAAAGCCTCAACAGATGTGGACTTAGTGGTAGACTTGAGCCCATATTTGTCCACTAACAAGTTATGAAGGCTATAGAATATTGTTGGGGTCATTCTAAACATGTTGTAACAAGAATTAATGTTGGCAAGCTTATCATGCACCCACTGGAAACCACTCACTCTTGGACTCCTATACTGAGCCCTATTCATATACTTGTCAATGTGAACAGCAAACTGGTACATACCATAGAGAAACTCATCATCCTCGTCATCATTCATTAGCTCTTCCATCAACTCATCATCATCATCATCCAATATCATCTGCAAAGAATCGTTGTCTTCTTGTATCCCCGATCATCATCACCAACTTTGTCATGGACAGAGAGAGAAGAGCAAGTCAGTCATTTGATCAAACAGTCCATGAATCCCATGCATCACTCCCCGCCATCCCACATGATCAAGTTCAAATTTAACTGACACATATATCCATTCCATAAGTTAATATAGGAAAACAGCAAATAAACCCATCGTACATGCATAACAAGTTCAAATTTAACTGACACATCACAACAGGACACAACAAGTTCCTACACCCTGCACCAAATGCCCTACATGCAGATAAGGCTAAGTTTTCTAGTTGTCCACCGGACCATGCTGCGAGATATTCAACTCGATGACATGCATCTTCCCTTCCTTAGTGTCTTGGGCAAGGAAGAAGTCCATTTCAGTTTCTGATTGCACTAGCTTGTGCAACCCAGAAAACAAAGTCTTCATTGTACTACTGATGCCCAGC